GCTGTGACTTTCAGGATTTACTAAAAGCATCATTTGAAAATAAAATTCACCCCATTTCAGTTTCGCAAAAGGATTGGGTAAATTGCCTAATAAATATTCTGCAGATATAATTAATATATAGGCAAAAAATATTATAAAGTAGAAATGAGAGTTTTCTCATCATTCCCACCTATGTGTAAGTACAAACTGCATGTGGCAACAAGACTTTTAAGATATAAAGTAATTTAATTTTCTTAACTGCAATTCTGATCTCTGCAATTATTTAATAAAAAGTAATAAAATCATGAATACATTAGAAAGTCACAGTCTTTTCATATACTGCTGATATAAACGTAGATGTTGACTGTATACATACATTGCACCGGTATCTCTGTTGGATCCGATTCTCCGGTCCCAATCTCATTCTTTGCAAGACATGAAAACACTTTATTTTCAAAGCTCACGTTTGTAACTAAGATCTGCTTTGTTTCATATGACGTAATAATCTTTTCGGTTCCCTTGTACCATTCATAGGATGTAACATCGGGATTAGATATGCTGTTGCATAATAACGTTACATTATCTTCCTCCATGATTTCTTGTTTTCCAGTAATTAGAACTGTTACATTCTTTGGAGAATCTGTTCAGAGAAGAATACATTGTTTTAATGTACTCAAGTGTATTTGTTTAATCTCTGTATACATTACAAGCAGGTTTTTATGTGATTTATAATATTGAAATCTATGACAATGATGATAACAGATGAAGAGAATATAATATAGTCATGATGACATTTTAGACTTTGTGGCTAAAGCCACAAAGAAATTCCCCAGGCACTCAGTGTCAAAGCCGCAGGCAGATTTAATGAAACGAAAAGAGCAGCTATGTTTCGACCTACTAAGAGGTCTTTTTCAAGCTGGAAAAAGACCTTAGTCGGTCGAAACGTTGCTGCTCTTTTTGTTTCATGTGACATGGTCGGAATGGCTGTCCTCAGCTCTGCCTGCAGGGGGACTGCCTGGGATGTTAGACAGTCCCCCATATGCTTGCAAAAAAGTTTTTAAAGTTTATATCAGAGTTTATAAACAGTTTATTAATCCAATAAAAGGTACTTAGATCATATATAGTACTTTTATATATACACACACAATCAATCTAAGTGTATTTTAATATAATTATAGATGTAAAATAATACCTTTTTTATTGGACTAACATAATTTTGTAATGACACACTTTCTCAAGTCTAAAGCATTTCTTTTTTTTTTCTTTTTTAAATGTAAAGTAAAACATTATAAATACATAGTTCGGGAATAAAATAAAAAGTACTTTTAATGATCCATGCCATTGTACTGTCTGCATGTCAGTGTCCGTGCGCCATGCTGAAACATGTTAGCTTGCTCGGTCGACAATGGTCACTCATTGTCGCCTGCATGGGGTGATTTGTCTTTATTTATTTTTTTTTTTTTATTATTTTTTTTTTCTTGAAGAATTTGCAAGTTCACAATGGTAAAGTCAGTAGCAAAAATGGAATATAACAGACAGTCAGAGTTGTTACCGTGTCCATTAACAAATATTTAAAGTATACAATATTAACAGTTAATTACACTTTTACACTGTCTTACTTGTAGATGATAGTTAACTATTCTTTTTGGTAGTAAAAAGAAAAGAGATGCACAATCCTGAAAAAACTAAATGGTTTTTATACCAGAACGAATATAGTAGGGGCTGTAGATTAGAGGATTAGGGGTTGGAGAGGGATGGAGGGCGGGTTTGATGGGGGAGTTTTAATGGTACCTGCATAGTCGCACATTGGTGGACAAACTGTAAAGGCGATCTTTAAGAGGAGATACCTTCCCATGTGTCCGTCAAACCTTCAGTAAATGGGGGGGAGGGGAGACTTGAGGAGAGTGTTTAACATCTAGTTTCCATCAGTAGGAATGTCAGCCATGGATCCCATACCTTTTTGTAAAGGGAATAATTATGTGTAATGGAGAAGCTGAGTTCCTCCATGATTCTAATTGATTCAACTTTATTGATCCATTCCTGGATAGTGGGTGCTGATGATTTCTTCCAGTTTAGGGGAATCAAAAGGTTTGCTGCTGTCAGAAGGTGTATAATCAGTTTCGTGGTGTGCTTCGGCATTGGCTTGGGAAACAGGACAATTCCACCAAATGTGCCCCAGAGTACCCTTTTCCTGGTGGCATCGCCAACATTTGTCGGTTGACGCTGGAAAGAGGGTGTGTAAATGAGCCGGGGAGTAATGCCATCTGGTGATTCTTTGTATAGTTACCCTCCAGGATGGCAGAGTTTATAGAGGATTTGTGTATTTGGATGAATATTTTTGTCCATTCCCTTTCGGATATGTCTATTTCCAGGTCCAAGGCCCAAAAACGAGTGAAGGATGGGAGTGCATGGCCTATGTCTTGGCAAAGAAATGCATTGAATACAGAGAGGTGTTTATTTGTAATTTTGTGAGTTTTGCAGTGTGTTTCAAATTGAGTTACGTCTTGTTTGTCCTTTGTTAAGTCGGGCATAGAAGATATGAAGTGTAAGAGTTGATTATATCTGAACTGTTGCAGCGTCGCTGGGTTCCCCTCATCTATAAGGTCGTGTATTGGGGTTATCCCTGTAGTCCATTGCAGTGTTCCTAGGGATAGGTATTTTGCGTCATGGAAATCCCCGTAGGCCGTAGGTTAGAGACCTGGTTTGAATAGGGGGTTCTGGGTTAGCGGATATAGTGGAGATGGATGGGGAGAGACCGAGTTGAGGTCTTTCACTCCCATCCAGCTCCTTAGGGTGGGGATGATGGTCGGGTGTGTGGTATGTTTTGGAAGGACGAAAGCCCTCCCCGATTTGTGCCATGGGACAGTGTATATTGGTAAATGGAACATGGTAGAGTTCAAGATTGGGCAGACCCCGCCCACCCAGAGATTTCGGCCTGGTAAGGAAGGGGATTCTGGGTTGTTTGTAGGCCCAGATAAAGGCCATAAGCAGCCTTTTAGCTTCTGTAAAAAAGGATTTGGGGAGACTGATTGGAAGGACTTGTAGCACATAGAGGAATCAATGGAGTACATTCATTTTTCGAATATTTACTCGGCATAGCCAACCAAATTGCGGTTTATGCCATAATTTTAGATCTTGTGTCACCTCTAACAGAAGTGGTGGAAAATTGAGCTTGAATAGCTTTGACATTGTGTGGGGTAGAAAAATACCCAGGTATTTAATGGCCGTGGGGGACCACTTAAATGGATATTCTCGTGTGATTGCGGTCCTATTGTTCGGGGCTAGGTTTAATGGTAAAATTTAGCTTTTAGCAAAATTGACTTGGAAATTAGACAACTTGTTGTATTGTGAGATTTCTTGGAGAAGGTGTGGCATGGTGGTGGTGGGGTAAGTGATCATAAATAGAGTTGAGCGGACACCTGGATGTGTGGGTTCGCCGGGTTCGGCCGAACATCGGCAAAAAGTTTGAGTGCAGCCTCGAACTTGACCCGAACGTGACCCGGAACCCAAACCCCATTGAAGTCAATGGGGACCCAAACTTTTGGGCACTAAAATGTCTCTAAAAAAGTATTGGAAAGGGCTAGAGGGCTGCAAAAGGAAGTAATATGGGGGTAAAAGTAGGACAAGTGCCCTACAAAAAATTGGGGGTAGTCCACAAAATATTGGGACATATACAGTTGCAAGAAAAAGTATGTGAACCCTTTGGAATGATATGGATTTCTGCACAAATTGGTCATAAAATGTGATCTGATCATCATCTAAGTCACAACAATAGACAATCACAGTCTGCTTAAAACTAATAACACACAAAGAATGAAATGTTGCCATGTTTTTATTGAACACACCATGTAAACATTCACAGTGCAGGTGGAAAAAGTATGTGAACCTTTTAATAACTGGTTGAACCTCCTTTGGCAGCAATAACTTCAACCAAACGTTGTTGCAGCAGACGTGCACAACGGTCAGGAGTAATTCTTGACCATAATGCCTCCTGCCTTGCTTAACACACGTTCAGACAATACACTGGCTAAAGGGCAAGCTCAGGCCATGTGCCCAATTTGGAGACCCAGAAGTTGAATGGGGCAGACCCATCAGTCCGTACGTGTAAGCCACTTCCGGTTCGCCGAGTGGACTTACAGGAAGTGACGCAATGACGTTACGTGCGTCATGACGCAACGACGGAACGTGCGTCATGACGTCATACCAGAAGAGAAATTCAGCAGGAGGATCGTATTTCCAGAATTAAAGATTTAAAAGGAACGCCGGAGGAAGATTCATGTTATGCACTTGATAAAGACAGTTTGTCGAAACGCGTTGTGTTAGTAATTGTAATATTACTTTTTATATTACATTTTATTATATTGTTATTTTATTGGAAGTAAATACTTTTTTAACTACTACAATACTTTGGTCTACCATCTATCTTTCCTGCATCTGGAGCCAGATACCGGTACTCATAGGAGGATCGTGGGGCCATTCTGTATAGCTTGGGAAAGCTGATTTTCCACATGCGATCAACTTAGAGCCTGCTTTCTAAGCTCTATCTATTGTGAGTGACCCAGTACCTTTGTTTCTATCTTTCCTGTATTTTACAATATTACACTATGTATGGACTTTTATATTTTTCAGATTAAGCTCAAGAAACGTTTAACAATAAGTATATACGTTTTATGCTTTTTATCTGTATATTGCACCCCCCACTTTGTTATATTGTTTTATCATGTGTAAGCATGTGCATACGTACTGTTCCACCATGTTGCTGAAATTCTGCCTCCTGCTAAGACGTTCCATATCAGCTGGTGGTGCTGGTTGTTGTGGCATGCTGACAAAGCTTTTCCACATTTAGGCCATGCTAAACCTGCCTTCTGAGGTGCTGGCGGTGACCCAGCTGCATTGGCAACCTCTTCCTCCTCCTTTGCCTTCACCTTATGCTTCCACTGAGCCCCCGGTGTCAGTTGGGAATGCCATCAGCTGCGCGTCTACCAGCGTGCTCTTGTAGTCGCGTATCTTCCGATCACACTCCAGTGATGGAATTAAGGACGGCACGTTGTCCTTGTAATGGGGATCCAGCAGGGTGGCCACACAGTAATCAGCACAAGTTAGAATGTGGGCAACTTGGCAGTCGTTGCGCAGGCACTTTGGTGACTCTAGATAACCTCTGGCCGATCGCACGTGCCTGTGACAGCGACAACGCATTCGGATGTCTGCCCTATCAATTTTCGATGGTACTTTCTGCGCCTAACATGGTGATCATGGGTAACGGGGAATCAGGGTTCGATTCCAGAGAGGGAGCCTGAGAAACGGCTACCACATCCAAGAAAGGCAGCAGGCGCGCAAATTACCCACTCCCGACGCGGGGAGGTAGTGATGAAAAATAACAATACAGGACTCTTGCGAGGCCCTGTAATTGGAATGAGTACACTTTAAATCCTTTAACGAGGATCTTTTGGAGGGCAAGTCTGGTGCAGAGCGACTGACCCGTGCGTGCTGCAGCTGAAACTCCACTATCGCCTGCTGCTGCTTGGACGGTCTCTCCAGCATATGCAAGGTGGATTTCCACCTTGTGGGCATGTCGCAGGAGGCGGTGAGCGGGAAGACCTAGGTTACGCTGCAGCGCAGACAGGCGAGCAGCAGCAGGGTGAGAACGGCGAAAGTGCGCACAGACAGCCCGCACTTTCTGCAGCAGCTCTGATATATCTGGGTAGTTTTTCAGGAATTTCTGCACCACCAAATTCAGCACATGTGCCAGGCAAGGGATGTGCGTCAAACCAGGTTTTTTCCCCCAAACATATGAGTTTTAAAACAGACTGCTGTCATTTCCGCCTGGCTGTGCTGAAGTTGGTGGTGAAGGTGTTATGCTGACCGGATGATGAGGAGGTAGAGGAGGAGTAAGTGGAGTAGTAGTAGGAGGCAACAGGAGGCAAAGAGAAATGCCCTGCAATCCTCAGTGGCGAAAGGACATGCGCCAAACTGCTATCCGCCTCAGGCCCAACCACCACTACATTTGCCCAGTGCGCAGTTAGGGAGATATAGCGTCCCTGCCCGTGCTTACTGGTCCACATATCAGTGGTTACATGGACCTTGCCACAGATGGCGTTGCGTAGTGCACACCTGATTTTGTCCGCCAATTGGTTGTGCAGGGAAGGGAGGGCTCACCTGGAAAAGTAGTGGCGGCTGGGAACCATGAACTGTGAGACAGCCACCGCCATCAGGTTTTTAAAACTGTCCGTGTCCACCAGACGGAATGACAGCATTTCAAAGGCCAGGAATTTTGAAATGCTGGTATTCAGGGCCAGGGATCGTGGGTGGGTAGGGGGGTACTTCCTCTTTCTCTCCAGTGTTTGGAAAATGGACAGCTGAATGCTTCCATGGGACAGTGTGGAGATGCTTGGGGATGATGGCGGACGTGGTGGCATTGCTGCCACATCCTCTGTTTGTGGGGTGGCAGGTGCCACTCTGACTCCAGAGGTGGAGGAAGAGGCCGAGACCACAGTAGAAGAGGAAGCAGGAAACCTTTCTTGGTTTTTGAGGTGCTTACTCCACTGCAGCTTGTGCTTTGCATATAGATGCCTGGTCATGCAGGTTGTGCTGAGGTTTAGAACATTTATGCGTCGCTCCAGGCTCTGATTGCACAGCGTAAAAACCACTCGTGTCTTGTCTTGAGCACTTTGTCTGAAGAACTGCCACACGAGGGAACTCCTTGGAGCTGGCTGTGGTGTGCTCAGTTCCTGGGTGCGGTGGGCAGTAGCAGGCATACTGTCTAGGGGACGGCCGCTCCGCTTTTGCACCCTTCTCCCTCTTATGCTGTGCTGGTGCCTCTTCCTCCAAACTGCACACGTCACTCGCATGAACTTGATTCCATGTGGGGTCTAGGACCTCATCATCCTCCACTTCATCTTCCACCCACTCCTCAGCCCTGCCCTCCTTTCCGGTCTGCACACTGCAGAAAGCCACAGCAGTTGTCACCTGTGTTTCGTCATCCTCAGAGACGTGCTGCGGTGGTGCTCGCATGTCCTTATCCTGAAACATAAGTGGTTGTGCATCAGTGCACTCAATCTATTCCACTTCTGGGGCAGGGCTAGGTGGATGGCCCACGGAAACCGCGCCAGCAGAGTCATCAAAAAACATAAGAGACTGCTGCATGACTTGTGGCTCAGACTGCTTGGCTAATTTGCAAGGAGGTGAGGTGAAAGACAGATGGCCTTGGGCTGCAGGTGCCGACTCTGAGCTTTCAGCAGGGGACCGGGTGGGAGACAATGTGAAGGAACTGGAGGCACTGTCAGCCACCCAATCTACTATCGCCTGTACATTCGTAGAGCGGCATTCGGGCCTACCAAATAATGCTGAAGGTTCTGTCGCCTACTCGCACCTGAGGAAGGTGTTTCACTTGTGCGTGTAGCTGGCACAGATCGACCACGTCCTCTCCCTACAACAGGAGCTTCACCAAGAAATGAACCGCAGGCCGCAAATCTTCTGTTTAGCACTACAAAAGTGTGATTTATTTAAACCAACAATATAAGAGTAGTATTTATGAGTTTTATTGGACTGCAAGAAATGCACTGCAGGCCACAAATGTACTATTATCACCCAAAAAAATTTAATTTTTCAAAGTGCGACGTAACCACAGTATTTGACGGTTCTATTTGACTCTCAGATATGAAATGCACGCCCCAAATGTACTTTTTTAGCACCAAAAAAATGTGAATTTGTCAAACTGCAATGTCACAGCAGTATTTAAAAATGCTTAGATGTTGCCCACTGAGCTACCAGAACAGTTTTAAAGTAATGTGCCTGGCACACATGCAGTTGCAAGTGCCCACCTAACAAACAGAATGATTGCTTCTTTTTCTGTGGCACTGGGCTCAGGACAGGGTACAAAAATGTAGTATAGCACCCACAAAAATAATCGCTGTAGTTTGCAGATTCAACACCAGAAATCTGTCCCTCACAGTTGCAGCATCCTCTCACTACACTAATAAGAGCTCATGTGACTCCAGCTTATATAGAGGCTGGGTCACATGCTGCACTGGCCAATCACAGCCATGCCATTAGTAGGCATGGCTGTGATGGCTTCTAAGGGCACACAAGTCAAATGCTTGTTGATTGGCTGCCCTGCAGCTTTTCAAAACGCGCCATTAAATCGCTGAACACCGAACTCGAACCGGAACTGTTACTGAAAATGTCCGGGTTCTGGTTTGGGGTCCAAAAATCATAATGTATTGGTATACATCAAGTCCACAGTGTCCAACTTCCAGCAGTTCAACATCAGTAAATACATGTCCCAAAGTTGTTAGAGAAGGGAAAGGTTAGACCTGTTGCTCTGTGTGGGCCTAGATAAGAAGGTGCCCCGCCCTTTTTTTTTTAATTCTTTCCCCCCTTTTTTTTTGTTACTTTATGGTGGAACTGCCCCCCCCCCATCCTCCTGGCATAGTGCCCTTGTTACCCTTCATCTCCTACATCTTGACATGTATAATGGCCCGGTTGGGGTTTCCCAGGACGGTTTACCCTCCATAGGTGGGGTGGGGGGAGCAGAGAGGGCCCATCGTATGCCCCCTAAGGACTGTCTACCACACCCCTAATTTGATCCCTTTACCGGCTATCAGTAGTATTGCTGGGGGGACGCGTGTGTGGACCCCATGCAGAGTAAGTGTTAGAATATTGCCTTATGCTAGGTGACCCAACCGTACAACATAGGTTTCCGACAAAGATTGACAGTCATTGGCCAGCATAAGAGCCATATCACCTTTGGATGGCAGGTTTTTCAGTAAGACCTTGATGTCAGGATCTTGCTGTGAGCTGGATCCCTCAGAGTCTGCTGGACTAGAGGGGGGAGATTCCCCTCGTGCTGCCGGACCATTTTGGAACCCTCTGGTTCGTATTGTTGCTCCGAGGAGTCCCTGAAATATTTTGTAAGGGATCCCCCTTTTGCATTGGGAGTCTTGTCTGGTGCTGTGAGGCTAGAGTGGCCCTTTTTGGAGTTGCCCATCTCGCTTTGTTGGCCCTCGATATTTTGAAACCATTAGTAGATGGGAGCTCAGCAAGATGCTTAAATGCGGCTCCGTAGTTGGCCACGCCCCCGAAGTCTAAAGCATTTCTGAGCTGCATGGGAGCAGGAGCGCCTTGGACCAGCCCTGGTGGGGAATCAAAATGGCGGTGGGACCGGGACTTAGCCTGGGCCAGGATGTCAGGTCAGCCAGCGGAGATGGTGTAGTGGTGGCAGATCATAGCCGTGAGGTCATCTTCCCTTGGATAAACTGGTGGGGTTGAGGGCGGTGGTGGTAGAAGTGCGGCAGGTGCATAAGGTAACACTGTGGCAGCTCCAATCGCTCATGGGCAAGTTGGATTTTGCTTGCAGGGTGGTGCTGATGGGGAGGGTTTTCAGTAGAAGTCTGGACAGGGCCATGGTCGGAATCTGTTCACCTCATTACTTTGTTAGGGTTTCCTCCACTATGAAGACCAACTTGGAGGTCTGGGATGTGTTCCAAGGGGGGTTTAACAGGACAATGATTTTCCGGCAGGCGGCTGTTATGGCCACGGATCTGGAGCTGTTCACGGATGCTTCGGGTAGCATGTGCTTCAGGGCGTACTTCGGGGACGCTGGTGTGCAGCGCCTTGGCCTAGGGCGTGGCTTGCGAGCCCTTGATGCGCAACCTGGCATTTCTCGAGCTGTTTATGCTTCTACATCCTGTTCCAAATTATTATGCAAATTCTATTTAAGTGTCACAAAGATTAAATATTGTGTTTTTCAGTTTAACTAATGAATGGCATTATGTCTCAGGGCTCTTTTGATCACTGAAAACAATCTCCGACACCTGTGATAATTGAATTGCCAGGTGAGCACAATTTAAGAAAAAAAAACACTATTATTATATTATTATTATGTATTATTTTTGTTATCTTTCTGGCTGTCAATTGATGTTTTTACTTAGAAGGCAACTGTGCAATATCGTAGCTTTCTGAATTACATCTAGCTACTGCTTGGGATACAATCCTGCGATATTGTTACTTGCTGGTTTACATCTAGCTACTTTTTATACATTGTTATACATTGTTTGAATGTTCTTATTTTTAAATAAAAGGCATCATATGATTTGCCCTATTTGGATCAACGGATTATGTTGTTATATGTGACACTTTCATTGTGTTCCGGCAGGGACTAGATATTTATTTTATATAAGACTCAGGATATTGGATTTACTATATACATTCTATTAACATTTTCATTGCGGGAGTAGTTGGTTTTATTATGTTATCTATATAATTGGAGGACTCACACTACCATA